TGCGGAGTTGAAGCAAACCATGCGAAGTTTGGTAGGGCAGATCGATCCAAGAAAAACTCAGTGGTTGTTTGTCAAAGGAAGGGCTGGTGACGCTGACGACCGAAAATGTGAAGAATTTTCTAATTGGGAAGTCATGGCAAAGAGAGACATACACAGTCTGTTTCGATGTTGTTCGGATCCCAGCACGTTTGACAAGTTAAAGCCAGTCGTATGCCTAATCCTCCCCTTCACTAAGTGCAGCCAACCCTTTCTACAAGTAACAATGAGTCATTTGATCGAAAACTTCAGCAGGTACAAACTGACGTTCGTGTCTGTTAACAACGAGAGTTGGCGTGATCTATGCGGTAATTCCAGTGTTCAAGCCTTCCATTTGTGCCCCAAGATTTTTGATCTGGGGTTAAGAAAGATACTCGGAACGTCTACGGATCAGAAGCTGCAAATGCCTACTTCCCATGCTGGAGTTCAAGTACACCTTAGTCGTCGACAGTATCTCTACATCAAAGAGTATCTGGAAGTCTTATACTTAGGGTGTGAAGATCTACCGGAAGATGCTAACAACTCCTCGGAATCTTCGAAACGCTTAGAAAGACACCTGAAAGAGGAAAGAAAATCATTCTTGTCAGGAAATGTAATATCGTTTGCCAGTCTCTATGACAATCATGATGCTAAAAGAGAGCTTGAGAGAGATATCCAAGTCCACATTCAGCGACTCTTGGATCAAGGCCTAGCTCGCCCCATCACCGTGGAAATTCGACATTCGCCAGGCACAGGCGCCACCACCATTGCCCGTCGTGTTCTTTGGAATCTGCATAGTTCATACCCATGCCTGACAACTGATGTTGACTCTCATCGCTCTTCAGATGAAGACAACGACTTTGCAAGCAACCTAGCAGAACGAATATCCTCGCTCGAAGAAATTTGCAATACACCTCCATTGATTCTTATAGATGGAAAGCAATCAGGCTCCGTAGAAGGTCTCTCGAACAAGCTTGAACGAATACTTCAAAGTAAAGGCAAAAGAGCCCTCTTATTACGGTGTATTCGAGGAATCAAAGAATCAAAGAAAGCACAGGAGTCTTTTCATGTTCATAAAGTGTTTCATGTCAATGTCAAACTGGAGGAATCTGTCGCTGATCTGCGTGAATTCAAGTCCAAGTACAAGGAGTACGTAGATTCAGTCGATAAATCACCAAACAGTAAGGAGGATGTATCTGACCCTTGTCATGTTTTCCACTTTCCTCTCCTGGCCATGGTACAGGAATTCCATCCTAAACTAGAGAAGATCATCGAAGACACCTTCAATGAACTTGGAGGAATTCAACAAGAGATTGCCGCAGTGGTAGCCTTCTTACAAAAGTATGCTAATCTTCCAACTCCGGCCATCCTCCTACACGAAGCTTTCAAGCAGTTCATTCGCCTAGAAGATAAGAACACTGCCACTTATGATGATATCAAGCAGCTGTTTTCAGATTATCTGATGAATCTAATGATACCCGCGAAACCAACAACATCTGGAAAAGATTATCCACCAGAAAGCTATACATTCCAGCATACAATAGTCGCAGACCTAATCCTTAAGAGAGTGTACCAAGAGCAGAAACGCGACCTTCTTCAGATTGTCGACCGATTTCTTGAATTTCCTATATATCAGCAAGAAACTCTTCTACCCCTTTTAAATGAACTTTTCATCTACAACAAGTTCAGGCAAGGTCAAACGGAGAAGCTCAAGTTCTCCCTTCTATTCGAAGAATTGAAGAATACAGATTCAGATCGAGCAGCAGACGTCTTTTGTAAAGCTGCTGAGAAGACCAATCAGCCAGTGATGTATGCGAATGCAGCACGATTTTATGCAAGAAAGGATCCCCCATCATTCCAAAAAGCGAAAGAACTAATTCAACGTGCTTTGAAGGTCCATGATTGTGCAGCATCTAAAGCTGGATACAAAAACTTGTGCCATACTAAAGGTGTCGTTCTCTATTTTGAACTCAAGCACAAGATCAATTCTGGCGAGGTCCACAATCTTGAAGAATTGGAAGAAATGGCCAGCAAAGTTCTTGATGCACATCGTGAAGCACACAATTTTCCTCCAACTTACCCACACCCTCTTATTGGTGAAGTTGAGGTGTGGCTTGAGTGCATTACATGGATCATGAGGAACTTGTGCGATAATGACACCCAAGAGACCTTGCGTTTCGTGACAACTTTGTCTCCTCCTTTTTTTCGGAATTGTTTAGGTCACTCTTTAGATCTTCTAGACGTTGTTGATGGTATTGTCCAAAGCGTGCTTCAACTTGCTGATCCCGAGGAAACCAAAAGGTTGTCTAGCAATTTGAGGTTGTCCCTTGTGAAAATCTCATCTTCCTGGTAGACCGAAAGCCGACGAAGATATTGTTCAAGCTTGTAAAGCAATTTGCACCACAAAGAATTTCCAGCAGTCATCAATGTTGGAGCTTAAGCGACTTCAGGCCCACTTCCTTTTGACACACAACGAGGCAGTCGACAATTTCAAACAAGAAAATCTTAAATACCTGCTGAAACTCCTGGAAGAACTCGTTCTCAAAGGAAAGGAGTACAGCCTCGCTCATCATTTGATAAAAGTATGTATGCAAGTGACAGGAACAAGATGTTACACTCTTCAGCAAGGTCTCCATGTCTGTGACGAGTGGTTGTCGGAGGCAGGTCATGACTGCCTCCCGTCCTTTTACCAGATGGTTATCTGTTTCCTACAAATTTTGGATGGGAACACTCTGGATTTTATGCCGAAGTATATCCAAGCCTTGCAAAAGTGCCGAGAGAAATCTCAGAACCATCTGAAGAAATTTAATGCCACATTGTATTTGGGCAAGGAAGGACATGGTATGTCTCGCTTCATCAGCCGCAATGCATTGCTGCGTGGAGAAACGAACTACTCTCCAGACAACTTTCAAAAAGTTTCTAAATTTTGGCAGGTGGAGAGTAGAACGAAACTGAAGGAGTGTAAAGGAAGAATCAGAGAGAAGGAATCTAGTCTTGGAAAGTCGCATCTTTACATCGAGCTAGTGCAAGGTAATCTTGAACTTTATGTTGGCAAGAACGCTGACATTGGCAAAGGGCAGATGGATTTTACACCGGGAGCTTTGGTGTATTTTGTTGTCAGTTTTAATCTCCAGGGTCCTGTAGCCAATGGCATAACATTTTCCCCGCAGTATTCGTCAAACGAGTAATGATAAAGACTGTTTGGCACTTCAACAGTGTCTCGTTCAAACGATTCTCGGGAACATTGATGAAAATATCAGTTACAGTCGAATTCTATTTAAGACTTTGGTTGCTCGCTGTGTATGAGGCAGAGCAATGTCAAACAATGACATTTTCAATGACTTTTCTATGGAAAACAAGTTATAACTTCCTGTAAATGTTTTCACTCTTTTAATTGTTACGTATATCTTAGATACTGTCTTCATTAATCAGATTTCGGTGCAAGTTGTGTCGTTGATCGAAAATAAGATTAGGCAAAATTTATGTACCTCTAAACAAACCACCATGTGGTTCTCAAATTCACTATGAAGCCTTTAGATGAGCTTTTTTCTATGTCCTATTTGAGAGTCGTAGAAGAACAGTCCTTAACACTGAAATCGCTGTAACGTTAGGATGATCAAAGAGTTCGTTAAGGTTGATTCCTGGGCTACTTTTGACAGCCTGATCATTTATTTGCGTCAGACAAAGAGGAAACAACTGAACTTAAAGTTAAAATTTGCTTAATTAAACTCATGGTCATTTCAAAGTTGTAAACAAAGGAGGTGCCGTTAAATAGGTTTGGCCTCGAATTTTGGAAATGTAACTTAAAACTGTTTATTTTTAGGACGTATAAGTCAAAAGAAATCTACAGGCACCAAAACAGTTAACAAAAGATTTACATTTTCGTATATGTTGTATTGGGAACTACGTAGTTCATATGATTATTCAGTCATTTGTATCTCATAACCCGGTAATGTATAATTTTGATGATCGAAGGAAGAGAGAGAGAACAATCAAGCCAATAGTAGGACAAACACTACAAGATATTTCTTAGATCACAATTTTTAATGAAACAAATTTCTCGTTAGATGATTTTGAATAGGTGCGTTCAAAGCCAAAATATTTGTCACAATAAAATTAACTTTTTTTTCAAATGATCTTTACTTAGTCTTATACACGACCGCTTGTTTTAGCCACCGAAAATTTAATTCGAAGGAGAAAGAATTTAATGAGAAGAACAGAGTTGCAGTTACCTCGACCTCAAACGGGAGATGGACGTTCAAGGGCCGACAAAAAAATTCCCGCTGACATTTCTGTCATAACCTTGCTAAACCAAAACAAAATACGCGAAATTACTTTCTAGCCGTTTTGAATCACAACTATTTTCCCACACCCAGTTGTAAAGTGATAAAAAAATTATCGAAGGTGATTGGTCATCACCAGCCCAAATTGAGCACTAATAGGACAGTGTACCCATCATGCTTGTAATTGGACAGTGTAAAAGGACAGTTAACAGGACAGTTAACACGTCATGCCTGTGTAAGTGAACAGAATGCATCTGTGTGGCACTGTTGTTTCACATTTTGCTGAGTTAACTGCTTTTTTGTATGAAAACATGTAACGGATGTCTAGTTTCTTTCTAAAATTTTGTCATAGTTTTGATTAATTGATAACAGGACTTTGTGTCCTCCAACTCTTTCTGTAATCATGAGTGATTAACAAATCAGACTGCTGCTTTGTGGTTGTCCAATTTTGTTAATCACTTGTATGATTACAGATTGAATTGGACTCCACCCAGTCCTATTACCCTTATGGAAACATGGTCTCCTTTCTGATTTGTGCCCTCATAGCCACCACATAGTTCTTCCCCATCTATTTACAGCTGTTCTATGGGACAAAATAAACGCATAAAACAGAGTGATAATTTTGTGATTGCAGTATAACTACTTATGAACAGTTTTGATCTTGCAAGCTACTGACAGAGGTGGTCTTTCAACAGTAACTGTAACATTGTATATGATTTGTATGATCAAGTTTTTGTTTCATTTCAAATTGCTCTATTTAAATTTGAATGTTGCAAAAAAAGTATTTTTTTACAAACAATGTTTATTCTTGATTATGTCAGATATGCATATGATGGTTGCCAATCCAGAGAAGGTAATGTGCTATCTGAGAACTTTTTAAGGAATTGTTGTGTCAAAGTACATTTTAAAATCTTTTATTTATTTAATTTAAAATTGTTTGGTAGATTAAAATAAAAGAAGTTGCAAGAAATTTTTTTCTACCATTTAAGACCTTACTATTCTGTGTTTAGTGGGTAGATGACATGGCAGATGCTGGGACCAATCAATACACTTTTCATTTGGAAGCAACAGGTACAAAAATGAAGATACATTATTTGTGATTTTTTGAGATGAAATTAAGTAATTAAACAGTTATTTGTCAAGGGAAAGGTGAATGTAGTGCTGGATAATTTTTTACCTCTCATCAACAAAATTGGAGCTGCTGACATATTAACTTTATTTGAAGATTCTCCCGGGCTTCCTGTACAGGGGAAGGTGCCCCTTGTGACTAGAATCATAAATTGAAAAAAGAGTCCAATAGGTAACCAATTATAAATCCATATTGATAAATGAATCTTGATTGAGGTGAAGCTAAGTATTGAGTTCATCATTGTTTATTGCTTGTGTTGTCAGAAAAACCAGTTGACTTGATAAATCAAATAAAGAAGGCTGGAATGAAGGTAATAATATTCAACTTTTTGGAAATCATACATGTACAAATCAGTTGGCATTGTTTATCAATATTAATTAAGTTAATATTTAATCAGTAATATTTCATTTTAATAATTTTCAGATTATTTGTTAACACAATTTCTTATTCTTGTGGAGACTTATTGCCTTACATGAGGTGGGACAGGATTTGAAGGCTTCATAGTGTTAGCTTCAGGTCCTTTTTGATTTGAGAAATTTGTGATGAAATCTATTTTGAGGAAGATTTGATGTGGGTGTTTTTATGGGAGCTTTCCCATGGACAAAAAGCATATAGTCCAGATGATCATACAAACTGCTTTATTTTGAGTCAGCACAATGCAAGGAAAGGCATTACTTTTGTTAGGTATTAAATTACCAAGTTTGAAAGAATTACTTCAAGCTGCTTGAGGTTTCTAGCTCTCTCCTGATTGTTTTTGGAGAGTTGGTGGAAAGCTGACCGAAACTCCGACCTGTGATGGTTCTTTTGAGGATTTTTGTTTTCAAAATAACCATCACCTAAGTACACGTTACTCTCACTCTTACACTTTGAATTAATTTTCTCTTACACCTACCGTTAGGGTCTTTTTAATGTTAGTAGTTCTTTGTCTAATGGAACCAAAATAAGCTATATAATGTAGTTATAAATATGTGACTGCTGAACATTTTCTGTGTTTTTTGTTTTGTTTTGTTTTTTTTGCAAAGGTTGGTATTGGAATCAAGCCTAACACACCAGTTGAAGCTGTCTTGCCATTTGTGGAGCTGGTGGATATGGTTCTTGTGATGACAGTGGAGCCTGGATTTGGTGGACAAAAGTTCATGGCAGACATGATGCCAAAGGTAAATTAAGATTGAAATGCATTTTATAATTTAATTTGATGCAGGAAATGATGTATGTTATGGTGTACTTTAAACTCTTTAACTCCCAGAAGTGATCAACATGAAACTTCTTCCTATAATATCCATACATTATTCAGCAAACAGGTAATGAGAATATTCCAACTTATCAGGTAGAAGCTGTTATCTTGATCTAGCACCAAATTTAACACCAAAGGGTTAAAGAATGTAGGCCAATAGAAGAAACTAGGAAATGAGTGGATCACTGATGGGAATGAGTTTGTGACCTCTCAGACTAATACAGAAAATGTGGAAAACTCTTGTGTACTCCCACAAGGCTTTTTTTTCTAGCCTACAAACTTGTAAATTTTAATGAAAATGAAAATCTTGAGGGTAACATAGTCAGAAATGTGATCAAGGAGAATTGGTAAGCATAGAAATTGGTGTGCTCCAATGAATAATTGTGTCATGAAGTGCTTTTAAAAGGTAATGTTGAATTTGTACCTTTAGTTATTAGTTCTTATCATCTATAGCCAATGCACCAGCAATAAATTGAAGAGAAGTTTAATTTCCTGATGATTTGACCAAACTCTTCTATTTACATATCATAAGAACGCGGTGTAAGAACCTACTTGCGATTACATTTCAACTCAACCTCACACCTTTTTTATTTGTATGATCCACACAAAATTTAAATTTATGTAGATAACTGCCTGGACTGGGGCTAGCAGGGGATTGGTTTTTACATCCTGCTCTTTTTTAAGAATTATTTCTAAGGGACTACAAAAGTGCTACTGAAAAGTTAGTTGTCAATTAAATTTTTTTTGGCAGGTCAAACACTTAAGAACCAATTACAGGGTTTTGGACATTGAAGTTGATGGAGGATTAGGAATTCCTACAATTGAAGCTGCAGCTCAGGTAGCTAATGATACTGTAACAGCTTTAATGTTCATACAATGCAATTACTGATGACCCCAAAAGTCAACTTACTGCCAAGTGAGATGAGGAAATGGTTTATACAATGTACAGTGAAAAAAGCCCTAATTCAGGGCTCCAAGCTCAACCATTGTCAAAGTCAATGTTATTTTAATGAGTAATGATGACCCAAAATCTTGTTGTGCAAATATCTATCTCAACTTCACCTTTCACACATTTTTTTACAGATGAAAACATTATCAATAGCTTGCAACATGGCTGTTGAACATGGGTAGCCAATTTGGGGTCTTTTGTTGAATAAGAAGTTGCTAAAAATGTTTTTTATTAGCCATGGTGACCATTGGTTATGGCTTTGAGCATTGGCATTTTACCTTTATAAAGGTGAACTTAGGAATTTATTGTTTCTTAGGCTGGGGCAAACATGATTGTATCTGGCAGTGCCATAATCAAAAGTGATAAACCAAAGGAAGTGATTGACACCCTGAGAGCAACCACTGAAAAATGGATAAAGATTAACAGTGAAGGAAGTCAATGAGTGATTCAGTTTATCAGCAACATTTCTAGGGAATTTTTTGGCATTGGATTTTGTCAATGATGACCAAGGGTCATGTATTTAATTGGAATATTTTGTAAAGTTTTTATCAAGCTGCAAGAGCATTCCACACAAAAATAGTTAAATTGCCATGCATTACTGTAACTTTTTTTTCATATCCAGGTTAGGAAATATTTTGTTTTTCATTTGCATGTAGCTGTGTCAGGGGTATATACACTTATCCTTTATTCACCAACATGCTCAAAAATTGCACTCCAATGTCTAGTGTCACATATTTGTCTGTTTTAGACAATCCACTCATTTCACTCAATACAAAAGTTTTAAAATGGAGAACCTAAGTTTGAATTTAAAATTGTAAACCTTCTTAATTAAAGAAAAAAAATATCTGATAATGCTCAAACTGACGATTAGAGGAGGGCATGAAAAGGGTTTATTTATAATATGTGACTTCAGCAAGACTGCTTAATTCCTAAGAAGTGTCTTCTATTCCTTTTTCAAACTACATGGGAGAAGTAAATATTGAATCAAAACAAACATATGATCTTTTTTCAGCACACCCTATTATTGCACACTGGAGAAAACTCAGACCAAAATTTGCACACATACATTTATTTAATCATTATCACCCCTGTCAGCAATTTTCACAATTATGTTCTCTTACAAATAGTGCAAAAAACATCAATGGGAATCTAGAACACAACAATACTAATTAAAATGCTACAATACATAGACGAAGAAAGTTCAGTTGTCTGACTTGTTCACCACTTGTTGTAAAACCTCAGTTTAGTAATGGATCAAACTCTGTCTCCTTTATAAATTTAAGTGTAAAGACAAACAAATGCACAGATACAACTGTTTACAGTCATCTCCATTTGTTCAGCATATCTGAGATATTTTAATGAAGACATTTAAATACAGGTACCCATTTATAAATTAAGTACATGTTTGACAAAGCTGTTTGAGAAGATGAAAACTACCTAACTACTTTGAACTATACGGTTATAAATTACGAGACGCATCTTTTAAAAATATTATTTCCTTTTGACTGAAGGCCACAGATTTATGGTTTAGGCAGAGACTACTACTTAGTTAATACTTGAGTCTAAAACCCTAAGCTACTGCAGAACTACTTGTTCTAGCAGTAGGTAAACAAAGAAAAAGCATTTGCAAGACTTGATTACCATGTACTTTGATGCCATAGGAAATAGGGTGGATGGAAAGCAAGAGCTTTTAACTACAGTTATCCCAGAATTTCTTTTCAACAGACTGTTCTGTCTCTAATTCATTCTCCCACTTGATGTTTTATTTTAAAATTTTTCCCCTCTAATGTACTACAGTTCTCTTTCAGTGCTCTGGTATTATGAGTGTTGTCAATGACATATCTTCCACACTGGTTAATTCCTCAGTCATCATCTTCCTTCTTCTCATCACGCAGCATGTACCTGTAATTACATCATAGAAGTAAAATTTTATTAATGCATGTAAAAGATTATCAGTTGGGTAAAATATGGGCAAGTAAACTTGGGTCAAACTCTTTACTATTAATAATTCTTACGCAAATAATGTGCCTGATATATATTTTAGATAAATCTATCTTTAGAAATTTTATAAAAGTGTAATATTTGTACCATTTATAACCAATGCTGTTTTTGCAATAAAGATGTAATTTTGTGTATCAAAACAACCTTTCACTTTTGGATCTAGAAGGGAAATTTTCTAGAAAGTCATAGGAAATTTATCTTTTGAAACCCCTAGCAGTGAAAAGGAGGACAGTTCTCCATTTTGGTCCCCTTTTCACCCTGACATCAGTATGTATATTCTCCATACTGTTCTCCATACATTTCCTAATGTGCTGACAAGGAGAATTTGTTTAACAATCAAGAGCTTCTTTAGTTGGTGATCATTTCCTTGATTCTTACGACTTTAATGTGTGATTCCTGGGAGACATTGCAAGGGGAAATTAGATGTAACCCCTTTGGGGGTCAACAGTTAAGAACCTTTCTAAATAACAATCTTAAAATTAATAACTGTACTAGTACATCCCTCGCATTCACATTAATCTTAAATAAAAAATACTTACCATTCAGTGACAGGCTGAGACAAATCCAGTTTACCAAGGTCGAGCAGAACCTGAAGGACAATGCAAATAACAACAGTGTCACTACCTGTAATGGTGTAGTTTGATCGTCCGGGTGAGTGTAGTCCTGAGAAGGACTGTTGTAGGTAGTGGTGACTGACGTTTCGACAACCTGAGCGGAAGTCATCATCAGAGTCGAGTGAAAGGTGGAACTACCCTCGTTACAATGTAAAACCAATGTGCCCTTGTTTGAAAACTGCTCCACAAAAGAGTGCAAACTCCTCCCACTCAGGTTATTTTGTCTCATCCCCTCCCCCCCCCCCCCATCTTGATATTCCACTAAAACCTACAGTTACCTTTCTCTTTAAAAGCTTTTCCTTCCACTGTCCCCCATCCCCACCCCCCAAGTAGTTCTAATGTATCACCATGGGGTAGGTACACATATTAATATTTACTGGAGCCAGTTGACTTTAAAAAGCTGAAGGATTGACTATATAATTGTATATATTATTGCTCATATCTGATTATGTTAAAAAAATTTTTTCATATTGGAAACCTTCCATCTCAACTTTGTTAAGTGAGCCAAAAAAAATAACTTCATACCTGGCCCATAGAAGTTTTGCTCTTTGAGAAGAAAGACACATCATTCTTGACAGTAATGTCCAAAGTGTGTTCCTTCACTTTATCCTCAGGGACACTCCATTCAAACCTAAAAAAAATGTTTTCCACAGGATGGTACAAAATCTTTCTCAGAGTAGGACACAAACATTATTCTAAGTAGAAAATCAGTTGCACTGTGAGATTAAAGAGTAAAAAAAACAAAAAGAATATTAAGAAAGTTAGAATTACGTTTCTTCAAAGTCTGGCTCGAGGGTGTTTTTCTTGACATCAGTTCGTCTGCGGCCACTTCGAGACTTGTCAGGAAGCAGGTAAGCACGGACATATGGGTCAGAAAGACCATCTGAGTCACAAGCCAGCAATTTCCTTTAAGTGAGTAACAGAAAAAAATAATTAGTAACATGTAACAAAGTACCCAAATGTGTACAAAGAAGACTGAAGAAGTCCTTTCATTACTTTTGCTCTTTGTTTATTTATGAAATTTACACCTTTCACACCCATACATCAGTATCCATATTCTCAATACTTCTCTCCATATTTCCTTAGGAACTGATAAGGAGAATTTGTAAATTAAACATTAAAGCTTCATATGTTAAAGATCACTTCCTTTATTCTCATTATCTTAATGAATGATTCAGCAGTATTACTGAAAGGAGAAATTACATGCTGAACACTCTTGGGTTTAAACAATTAAGAGGAATGAATTTGGACTGACCTTGCTTGGTGAACAATGACCTCAAACTTGCTTCCTTGTTTGTTATAGCGTGTGGTGAGGCGAATGTCACCAGACACTGTCCTGTTTCAAGAATAACATCAATTACCCATGAATTAATTTGCTTAATATTTGGATCAAACCAGAGACACTGACAGATGATCAAAATAAAATCAGCATAACAGTTGAAGCACAACGTTATCCAAGGTTGCCTTCCACACGCTCTTATTAAATGGCCAAAAAGAAAAAATTCTGAGCATATGGAAAGTTGCATACACTGCATGTTGCAGCTTGTCAGACCTTTATCATGACACAAATGACTTGGAGTGCCACTAGTCCTGTGTGACTAAGATGGGATCCAAGAGTTCATCAACAGGTTACTCTCCAACATTTTGTCAGGTTTTGCAAACCCACAAGAGAAAACTTACCTACCTTCCCCCCTCCCCCCTCAAAAGTTTCTTGCCCTAGAACAAAGTTCCCAGTGGTCCAGCAGGGTTCAACCTGTAGCTCTTGATCCACTGGACACCACAGTAATCATTAGACTTCCATATCTCTTACAGGTATGCTTTATTGCTGACAAACATCAGGTGCCTTGTATTTAACAACCCTTTAACTTCTAATAACTACCCACTTGTTTGTTCATTAGTTTTGACAGTAACCATTGCTAGGTATTACAACAGAAAGCTCTCTCTCACTGACAATGTCATCCCTAAGGGTTAGTGTTAGTGATATTGTTTACAGACGTCAAACATTAATCAACTGTTCACTTTACACCAGCTCACCTTTGAACCTTGGGGACAGGCTTCCTTCGTCTCACAGTGCTTTCCTCGCTAGGAGCCAAACAAAAGCAGAAAAAAATGCAGCGTTTTAGGCGACTGTTACCTGATGCGAGGCTGCAAGGATTGCGGCATGCAGAAACAGTAAGGAGTTAAAGGAAAGATTAGTGAAAGCTGCCAGCAATGTGAAGAAAATTACTCTTGTTAGTAACCAGAATTTGCTTTAAATTTTATCACCTCTCAAGATTTACTTTATTTAACTTACATTGTAAATTTTAACTCTAAATCTGTTACTGATTACCAACACCAATTGCATGATTAACTCCTGTATGGTTTAAATTTTAATGTTAATGTTAATTTTTTAATTTTATACTAAAATTTTTACTCCATAAATATCACTGGTGCTCAGAAAATGATATTTAACATTCAAAGACCGTCAGTATCAAATAGCGATGTTGTTTAAAGTGTGCAATTAATTGCTTATAAGATGTTTGGATGTTACTTGAGGTTAATTTAAATTTAATTATAGGTTATTTCTTATCTTTTTGACAATTTATATCATGTTTGAACAGATATGAAAATTATGTGAGAGACGAAGCTGAGTGTGATGAAGAAGGAAATCTGCTATAATTTAATTAATTAAAAATCAACCTACTGTTAGTAATACCCTGTTTGTATGTTTATCTGTTAATTATTCATTAGGAGTCGAATGATTTTTAAAATCACTTTTAATCAATGATTCTTAGGAACTATTAAATTATGGTTCTTTGATTTATTGATTGATTAAACTTTAAATAAAATTAACAATGGTTGACTGAAACTGTTAAGTTATCAATGAAGTACACAATAACCTTCAACTGCCCTTTAAATTATAATGATTATTAATAATATAACACAAATCCTTTTTTTTGGTCTTACATAAGGATTAGAGAGAGAGACATTCAAAAAGATAAAAGGATTATCAATAGATTATTGATTGCTCACAGTTTGTTGTCCACAGCAAGACAGAGAGGTAAACACATACATGAAAGATACTGACACGACAAGCAGTGACTGGTAGCAGACACAGTATAGTCCTGATGTTCATTGATTTGTTAATAAAAGCATGGACTTACCTTTGCCTGCTTTCACCACCTGATAGTTCATCAGCAGCAATCACATCTGGTTGGTCAGTGTCATCTTCTTCACCTGATGTGTCATCATCTCTTGTAAACAATGCCTCATAAACAGAGGATACTAGTGGCCTGCATTTCCTCAGATTAAAGCATCACATAATTAATTACTTTCTAAGCAACTAAATTCTTGACAAAGTATTGACAGTGATAGGTGAAAGGACACAGTGATCACCTCTTTGAGACCAAAGTTTGAATATGTTTACCTTCAGTGTAAACCTGAAAATCAAAGTACTGTTGTGGCCTGAATCCTTTCAAGGGGAAGGCTTGTTTAAATGTCACGTTCTCATTCTTCAGAAGTTGAGCCAAGGGGAACTCCAGTATGCCAATGCTTTTCTCCTTGCTGCTGTCAATAATCTGTTGAAGAAAAGAAAACCATTGATGTGCAATAAGTAAAACAAACCATAAGATTTTACATGTACATAGATCTGAAACCAGGAAATTCCTATCTACTGACTAGACATTCATCCAACATTGAAGAACAGAAAATTATCTGGCTATTATACAACATTTGTTGACTAAAATTCAATGAGCTGAGCTGTTTTCAATCAGATAGTGAGAAAACTCTCCTATTACATATATTTTACAATATTCTCTGACTTGCTAATATAACACTCTCCTTACGAGTCCCATGATCAATGAATGAATCTGTACCTCAATATCCAATTCCTGATAGTTAGGATCATGGATCATGAAGCGAAATGGTTCTTCCCACACTGGACTGATGGAGTCTTGAATGGTCTACATTGTTCAAGGTGGAAGAAAAAACAATTACTACAATTTAATAATAATAATAATAACAATAATAATAATAATAATGTTTATTTCTTATATTGCGCAGTCTAGCATGTGATAAGGATATGATCGAGTGCGCATTACAACACTAAAATCTTAAAGTAATAAATGGCTAGTCCAAATAATGATAATAATAATAATAATTTACAATATTTGGAAAACAATAAAAGTAGAATATGAGTTAATAAAAGAACTAATAAAAAGCTAATTTAAAAAGATGTGTCTTTAATAAAACTTTTAAAATGTTCAATGATTGACATTGTCTAATTTCTAAAGGGAGTCGATTCCATACTTTGGGCGCAGCATTTTCAAACGCCCTATCCCCGAGTGTCTTTTTTGTTCTATAGGTATTGTCCATTAGGAGTATGCCCCGGTATGATCTCAACTGATACTGCGAGCTCTCTTTGATTTTTATCAAGTCTGAAAGATATTGTGGTGCGACGCCGTAG